GACAATGTATTTAGTTATTAGTTATTATTTAGGAATTTTATATGTAGAAATAAGAGTTTAATAAACATTATAATATTATAAAATTGAAATAGCAATTATCTATTTGATGATGCGTGTGGTTATAATAAATTTATTTCATTTATATTAGTAAAATTAATGATTTTCTTAAAAAGGAAAACCTTACAATAAATAATAACTCCTTTAAAGAGATTGAAGGCTGGTCTCTTAATTATTGAGGCATCTTTTGGCGTGAGGATGAGATTTTGATAAAAACTCTAAAGTTAAGCTTGCGCGTGATGGAGCATTCTCAGGATAGATGATCTTCGGGGAAGTTACAACAATGGAGTAAGATCGTAGTGCCATTTGGCCAGAGCGAAAAATATATTGATGGGTAATTGATATGCCAACAATAATTTTTCATCATCCGACACGGATCTTGAGATATGACATGAATCTTGAGAGGATATTTTAAGCAGGAAACATTCAAAATTTGATAAAAAGTCATGAAGATATCTGATTTCAGCAAACATATAGTCAAACTGACCAACTGATGAGACGGACTTAATGATATGAAAACTAGCTCAATCTGAGTCAAATCAAGTCCAGATTAAATCAATGAACCACACTTAGATGATTTTCGTACACATTTGGAAGTTCAAAGGGTTGTCAAATATGACAAGTTTATATTCGAATTGAGCGGCTCGACAAGACGAATTCAACGAGCTTAAGATCACTCAATTCTGACATCATTAATGCACTCAAATGTCCAGTAAACGTTGTATGATCAAGGGAAGCTCTCTGGATCGTTCGATCAAAATGATTCATATTCCTGTATTAATTACATCCAAAACACTATAAATAGAGCCATATCCCTCTCATGAGGGGTGCTGAAGTCTGGAGAGAGTGTCTGAGACCTTGAGGAGAAGCTGCAGTTCAACATCATCGTTGATCGTCGTCGACCACCACCAACCTCCGTCGTCGACCACCCACCGCCGATCGCAGTCGACTATCGCCAACCGTCGAAGACCATCGCTGATCGTCGTCGACCTCCGCCAACCGTCAGCCAACCGTCATCGATCACCACGAGCCAGACGCTGTCAGTCAACGTTGTAATCTGAAAAATATAGTTACATTTCTCGTCTGTGGGATAAGAAATTTCTGTAATCATCAATCAGTAGTGGATTTTCACAACTGGGCCTGACCCCGTGGTTTTTTCACTTTACGGGAAGAGACATCACCACTTGTTTCTCTTTCATCTGTGTGTTTGCTAAACTTTCGTACTACGCTAAGACTATAGTCTGTCACTCTACAATCACGAATTTTCTAGCACGCATCAGTGATAGTTCGGGCCATCACAAATGAGATCCATAAAAAAACTGTGATTCCATCTAACCACTAAGAATACATAAGGTCACTGAAACCAAGATATAGTCACCAGAACGCTTGGTTCACCATGCAAGGCCGAGGATCATCATAGCTCAACCAAACTCTAATACTCCAAAAGAGTAAAGAAATCAGCAAAAAAAACCATCAAGAGTAGCATTCGAGCGAAAAAAAGTGCCATATCTCAATAAAAAAAATTAGAAAGGAACCAATGAATAGAGAACCAACTAGAACTTGATGAATATTACTAGGAATACAACTACTAATCAAAGTATGGGAAAAAGAGCATTAAAAACGATGGCTATGCAACTCTGAATCGTTCAACTAGAGAAAACAGTTAACCGCAATGCCTCTTTCAAAGTAACAATATAGGTTTTAAGCCCGTTGCACGTAATTTTTCAAATATAAAACACCATCTTAATGACAAGGCGCATTAATATTTTGAGAGAAGACATAACAATTGTTAGAGATAATATCACAAAGTTTGGTTTGCTTCTGATAATTATAATCAACAAAAAATAATATAACTAAAATTTTGGATCATAATAGAAAAATGACCGATCATGGTTGGTCATTGAAAAATTAAGAGATTGTTTGGGATAGCTGTAGTTTATTAAAAAATAACTGTGAAACTGTTGAAAAATAATTAGATGTTCAATAAGTTACGGTGACAATTACAATTTTTTTTTTCTTAAAAAAAATAGGGCCGCAACTAGAAAGCTACCACTGCACCTAACCATGATAAATTGGAAAAAGCGAATTTCAACATCATTTCTTTTTTTAGAACTGTCAAAACGCAGTTTATCCAAACAAATAAAATTACGATGTGATGACCGCAACCACAAATGGAGCCTAAGATACGATATAATCCTAATAACTATTTTGATCATCTACGAGATGGTAGATCAAGCATTAATCCAAATAGAACCACAACTCTCAAAACACCAACTAAATAAATAGAAAATAGGATTATAAATTATTCAAATGATTTTGAATTTCTACATAATATTAATATTTTCTAATACATGAAGACCAAACTTTCCATTACTCTTAGACAAAGTCACGATATTCTAAACTACGATAATCAATTTTTTTCTTTATCATTGCTATAAAAGAAATTTATTAAACAAAAAACAAAATAAAATCAAACTCAAAATGGGGTGATCGAAATGTAGTACTACACTATATTCTGTACGTGTTAACAGGAAGACCAAGCTTTCCATTACTCTTAAACAAAGTCACGATATTCTAAACTACGATAATCAATATTTTTTTCTTTATCATTGCTATAAAAGAAATTTATTAAACAAAAAACAAAATAAAATCAAACTCAAAATGGGGTGATCGAAATGTAGTACTACACTATATCTTGTACGTGTTTGTCATTTGCATGCACGTTTGATCGCTATTGGGGCAATATATAATTCTCTCCAGTGACGTCCTATACGCTAGACCTAGACCGCATTTATTTATGACTTATGTGTAAAATAATAGAGGGAAATTAATATTGGAGATAACTCCAAACACGAAATTTAGTATGTTGCAAAATTTTCTTATATATTTTGCTTTATGTTTACAAGGGTAAGGTTACCGTTGCAAAATTTACTTGTATATTTTGCTTTATGTTTACAAGGGTAAGGTTACCAAGCTCACCTAACTTCTCCGCGGTCAAACCAGCGTAAATCCTTGCACACAATAGGGGTATTTTCGGCATTAATAAAATCACAGCTGAAGCTAAGAGGGGTAATATAGTAAATACGGCAGTTTCACCTCCCCTTCTCAAAACCCAAACCAATCTTATCGTCGCGCCTTCCGCCCCTTCGCTTCCCGAACTTCATCTTCCTCGTCTCCTCTCCCTCCCCAACCTCTCTCTCTCTCTCTCTACCCTGGTCTTTTCTCTCTCTACCCTGGTTTCTTTCTCTTTCTACCCGGGTCTCCTTTAGATTTACTCGTTTCTTGCGTTACTTTGAGATTCTATTGTTTCTCTCAACTAACCCTAAACTTCCGCCGTCTGTTTCTATGGATCATGAGGATCCTGAATGCAGCGCAGGGGCCGGAGGTTCTCACTGCCCTCAAAATGATAATATATCAGTCCCTTCCTCCGTCCGTGTAGGCTTGAAGCGCGAGCTCGCCTTCGCGCTGAAGTCCCAGGCCGAGGTTTCAGAAACCCTTGGTCAAAGTCGACTCCGCAAACCACCTTCTTCTCCATTCCCGGCCGAAACTACTCCCGCATCTGCTCCTGCTGTTAAGAAGAGAGGAAGGAAAAAGCGTAGCGAGTTCTGCTTACCCGATGTAAGAATATTGAAAACAAATGTTATGCCTGCACCGGAGAAATCGACAGTAACGGTTCCGTTTCTTGCTCGTCAAGCCGCCGCTGTTCGTCCAGGATTTTCGGCTGAGATTCCCATTGTGGTTGATGATCTTGATAATGGTGGACGGGCCACGAATAATGTGGCCGTGGAAAGAGGATGGGAGTCCAGTTCCACGCATGTGCCCGGCAGCGATTTGACTGTTCCTGGTTGGCTGGAGCAGCAGGTGAGCAGGATTACACAGGCTGGTAACAAGTATGTGATGCAGGGAATGGAGGCGGGTGTTTTTTATAGTTCTGATGGTGGCTCCGCCAATTTTGATCCTGGAAATGCAAATGCAAGCGCCAGGTTTGCCCCTTTTGAACTCAAGTTTTTTTTTCTTTATGGCTATTTCATCAGTTATTAAAACAGAACAAAGTTTTCCTACTCAATCGACAACTCATGCGGTTGGGGTTCTGCTTTTCAACTGTTTCACCAGCTCAAGGGTTTTCCGTATTCATATTCTGTTTAAAGTTTTTCGTAAATATATCTGTGATTCTGAGTAATTTTTGTAGGGCCTTTTTCTAAAAATGCTAAATTTGCAATTTTTATTTTTATATATAGGAAAAAAGTGATGCAGGTAAAGACAATGGCCCTATCAAATCTTTTATGTTCGCGCTTACTAGGAATATATAGTTTAATATTTATTATAGTCATTGAGGTTATTTTTGGAAATTATCAATCATTAATATTTGCCATTACTTTCTATGCTCATTCGCATGCCTTTTCGAGAGAGACACACAAACACTAAATCACTATTATTTTTTGTATTTTATATCAGTTTCTTTATAGTTAGCTCATCGGGTGGTGAAGGAAGAAGTGAATGTGTTTCTCCACCTTCTCTCTTCCTCTCTTTATCTGTAGCTTTGATGTAGTGTGAAAAAGGGACATGTAGTCATCTATCTTATTTAGAAATGTCATCACCTACCTTCATGGGATTCATTATAACTATTTTTTTTAGATTTAATATGTAATGTATATTTAATCAAGAATGGATTTTGATTATTTCTCTTAGTTTTTTTTTTGTTGTTGTTTCTCTTATTGCTTTTAATGATGTGTGTGCACGTATGTGTGATATCTAAAATCTTATGTGGAGGATATCTAACACAAGTATAGTGAGTGATGAACACAAAGTTTGCTAGTAAGCTTCTTCTCAATTCTTCTCTTCCTTTTTTGCTCTCCACCTCTCTTACAAGCACTATCTCTCTTCTCTTTGCTGATTCTTCATCTTTCTCCCGTTCCTTATATTAATCAAGTTGTTCAAGTGCAAAAATTATCGTCATCAATTTATATCACAACACTAATGATCTCATCCGTCCAATAACTAAGGTTAACTAAGGTTTCTTTGGCCTGCCTTTTTTGTACGGATTTCTGTTTCTTATACATCTTTCTCACCCTAGCCCCTTTTATAATCCGCCGAAAATGAATCATCTGTCAAATCCTTTTCATTTATTCACTTGCCACATTTGTCTGATTCTAATCCTTTTTCTTCTATTTTTCATTGGACACTTTCCAAATTAAGGAGATTCCTTTCCCTAAAAGATAAATATCAAATGCAACTAGATGAAATGATGTATAAAACAAACAATAAATTTCATAAATTTACAGTTTAAATTCCTCTTATTAAAATAACTACTTAATTTATTTTGATTTAAAATAAAAAATCACGAGAAATTCAGGCCATGCAATAATCTAATGATATTTTGAATCAAAGAAATAAATTAAAAAAACACAGCTTTAGTGACATTCACACTGCAATTAGTGAACCTAATTTGTATCATATTTGATTAAAATTAAAATGCTCGCAAAAATCAATTATAAAATTTATGGAAGAAAAGAGAACAAGGTAAGAGACCAACCACCGGACATGAAAATTTTGACCTTACACTACAAGTAAGGTTTTGAAAATTGAATCAGACATTGGGTCGACAGACAGAAATATTCAACGATCACCCGGGGTTTAATTGAGATCACTTAAATAAATATTAAAATTAAGTGACATTTTCATACCCACTTCTTATGTATTTACATATATAACACCAGAGAATTAACTTTTTCACATTTAATTGTGATGACTTAATAGAAATTGAAAATTTTTGTACTTGTCTTTTATATGCTAATCCTTATTTTTTGTGTGATCTATGTTTATTATATAAGAATTCTAGAATTTTTAACCGGAGTATTCCACATTTGTCAAGTTGTTTTAACCATTGATATACTGCTGCTGCTCTGCCAATTTGCATCACAGTTTTGAAACGTCTCGTTCAAATTTTTTTCAGTTGTCATTTATTCCTTTGTATTAAATTGATATCTCTTTTACATGAAAAATATCTTTTATGAGATTTTTAGTGCTGCATATTGATAGGTTAAGTAGTCCTGAATCAGTATTGGATTCGATTGAGAGCACATCCAGAGAAGCATCAAGAGGGAAAACAAGTGGAAAGATAACTCGAAAGTATTTGACTGAAACCTTTGCTTTGATATTTTGTTGCAGTTATATTTAGTTTTGGTCAACTAATCTTGTTTGGTATTTCTTTCAAAGGGACGTGAGACTTCATAAATTGGTTTTCATGGAAGATGTATTACCTGAGGGAACTATGTTACGATATATAGTGAATGGAATTGTAAGAAATCATGTTATTCTCGCATTTGCTTATTGATTTTCGTTGAAATTTGCCTCCCGTATGCTTATATAGCCAACATTTTGCTTGAAAGCCTCAACTTGTTGGTTATGCCAAAGACTCTGGTATATACTGTACTTGCTGCAATGAAGTGGTATGTTTCAGACCCTTTTTGTTGATTTTCATTAAATATTTTTGGAAGATTTACAGGCATGCCACTCAATTCTCATGCATTTGCATATCTATTAACTAAACTTCAACTTTTACGTTATGTCACCTTACATATGCATGAAAAGGTGTATTTCATTTTATAAAAGTTAAGATGGTGGTGTTTTTTATGTGTATGAAATATTTGGGTTTAAATGCAAAAATTAAACTTTAGGCGTTAGATATGTAAATATATATGCATTAGGTGGTATGTTCGTGAATTCCCCAATATTATTAGTATTTGCAATAGTGTTAACATTTGGCAAACAGGTTAGCCCTTCACAATTTGAAGCTCATGCTGGCCATTCACAGCGTCGCAAACCGTATGCTACTTAGTGATTGTTTCAAATCCTGCCTTTTTGTTATTCGGCCATTCTTAATTTCTACTTCATTTTGTTTCGCCATTTTAGATATAACTACATTTATACTTCCAATGGAGTGTCACTCCACGAGCTCTCTGTCACATTATCAAAGCGCCGCAAGCTGTTGGACAGTGAAAATGATGATCTGTGCAGTATTTGTGAAGATGCTGGAGAGCTGGTACTATGTGACCTTTGTCCTAGGGCATTTCATCAAGGTATCGATCTTGACATTGCTAAATAAATGCTGTAGACACTAAAATTGATGTGACGGCACAGGTAAAAGATGTTGGACATGGACCTTATAGCTGCCTTTTACGAATTGGCAAAAACAGTCTAGGAGACTTTTTTGGGAGGATGAACAATCTCTTGCTGATAATTGGCTATTTATGCATATCCTTTGCATCATGTCACTACCTGGTTGGGGAGCTTGGAGTTAACCAAAGTGGGAACGGATGGTCCGATCACTTGGTTAACTCCAATCTCTTGGATTAGGTCGCGAAACATCGTTACAATAACTTTTTATGATGTTATTCATTTTACAGAAGAATAACATTCACAAAATTTATTCGAGCATTGATTGAATGTTTTTGTTGCTTTCCTAGCTTTATTCTCGTAATTTGTATTAGATGGATTGATGTTTGTTGGCTAAAATAACAAGTACTTCTTACTTGGAGCCAAAGTATCAAGGGAAGCCATACAACTGGTTGTAGTATGCATATGCCTGAGTGTTCTCATTTGTGGGATATGGCATTGCATTTTCTTTGGTCATGATTGCCATTCATTATAAGTTATTGCCAGTTATTTAAGGGTATGTACTAAACTAGAAGCAAAGTTAGGCTAGATACATTAGTGAAGTGTATTTTCAGCCTAAAAAACATAATATGCTTATGTGTGAGGGCCACATACATATTTTTCAACCATCTTATGTGGGTTTTGGAATGTTAGATAGGTTCTTTGTTTTGGAAAGTGATTATTTTAGGATGATATTATTTTCTATCTTCAGTGGCTATTTTATTCTCCTACATGCATAATCATCAATAACAACCACGCATGCATATACTGTAAACAACATTTGGAAGTTCAATAAAGCTAAATTTAGATGGTCAAAACTTTGCTAGTCACTTCGAGAACATTAACACTCCAGACCTTCTAAATAACTAGTAGTGAGAATATTTCAAACAAAAGGAAGTGAGACCGAAAGCCACCTATGGATTGAACCACGGTTCAAAGGAGAAGAACACAATTGGAAGTAACATATTGATAAATTCTAGTCCATCTCCCAAGTCCATATTTTAGCCTAAGAGAAACAATAACCACATTAAACAACACCTAATTAACCACTATATAAATTAAACGTAAACTGAACTAAAGAATGCAACCATGTCAAACCATATGACCCAATCTAAAGCTGGGAAATGAAATAGAACTTACTCTTTGCCATAATCATTGGCATGTTTTTTAATTATATAAACAGCAAAGCAATATAAATAATTAGTAAAAATAAACAAATAACTTGGGCAAAAATAATTTTTTATTGTGATGCTTTCAAGAATAAGGATAAAGATTTCTATCAACTTTGCATGGCTTGGACAAATTTGGCTTTGGCATATGTAGCATTTGATATTTATCAAGCAAATTGGAAAATACTATGTACCCCTTGCAAAATATTTCATGAATCATCAGAAGAATATCTGTCTTGTTAATGAATAAATATCTTTAGAAACCACCATCGACTGTGGAGGCAATATCATTTTCAAAACAACCTTATAATAAGTTGTATAAAAGTATACTCACAAAAAATAGGTGGAAAAGATTTGGGCTTGACAGTATGTTAATGAATTAAGGTCACATTAAACACCTTAAAAATTAGATTTATGCAAAAATTTTTAAGAACTTTTCAAATTATAAGTAATATTTACGATGCATTTTAAAACTTTAAATGATCCTATCTACATTGCATTTACATGTTTAAAGTTTCCTGATGGAAGCTTGTCTGGAGTTAGACACATCATAAATATATCATCAAAAGTAAAGTTCACATGCATTTTTTTGCATCTACATATATCCTATAATTGCCATAATTAATAGCATATTTTATGTGCATATTCTCAAGCAAGTCATGCACACGTTATAGGTTTTCTTCAAAATGTTTATTTTTTAATTTTTTGTTATATATAATGTAAACGAATTAGTTCATATTTAAGGTCTTTAACTGATTTCTCAGCTTGGTATGAATTTGGTTATAGGGACTCCAATTTCTCTCACGCACCGACTTTTTTACTTTTAGGTTTCTTAGCCCAAACACAATTTAGCCACTCTTTTGGGGGTGACTATAGCCTCCAAAGATTACACTGCTAAATCTTGTAGCTATGGATGTGTCATTCTTTTCTCATGAAACCCAAAATCTAACTATGATCATAAATGAACATGTTAATTTTCTTGCCTTCAGTCAAGGTATTCTTATTGTGAGGCGACTCTCCATATTTTTAAAAGATTACGTCCGAGTTCAATAAACATGCTTTCCTCTTGTCTATGAATTTATTTTCTACAATTTTGTCAACATTAACATTGTCATTAACAACTTGGACTACTAAATGCTCTTCAATCTCCTCTACAAATTAATTAATTTAAAAATATATTTTGCATCTTTTATATGTTTTGATGCTTCAATAAACTTTTTTAAAATAATGTCATTTGTATTGTTTATTATTAAAAAAAAGTTCTCACATTTTCATTGCACTACATTCAATCACTTTACCACAATAGTTGCACTCCAAAAATATGTATGTCTATTTTTTTTTCTTCCAACTTATTTTTTAACACTATATTGCTATGCCGGTTCTTCCACCGAGCTTTTTTCAAAACCTATAGTTATTTTAGAACAACCCCTAACTAAAAAATTTCATGCAAGATAGAGAAAATCTAATTTAAAAACAATAATACCAAATGCAAATGATAAAATTATCATAAATTAAAAAAAAAGATATTTGGTCTTTGTTGAGGATAATATCATATGAAAAAGTAAAAAGAAGGGACTTCCATGATCAATTCTAATACTGAAGCTGAATACATAATTATTACTTATTATGTTTGTATGATGATGAGGATAAAAAACTCCTTTAAGAAAATTTGATTTCCCATTTGTTGATTATATAGGCTTGGTTGAACACATGAAGTCAATTTTAGGATATTGTGTCTTTGTTGAGGACAATGTCATTTAAAAAATTAAAACAAAAAAGGGATTGCCATGATCAGATCTAATACTAAAGAGAAATATATAATTATTTCTTATTTTGTTTGTATAATGATGAGGGTAAAAAACAACTTTAAGAAATTTTGATTTCTCTTCACTCAAGTCTATTATTTTTCATAAACAAACTAAACATGTTGAAGGTAATTCGTACTTCATATAAGATGTTATATATAGGCCTGGATATTATTTCCTCAAAACAAGCTTCAATTGGCTCAATAATCTTCTCTTCACATTGGAGAACTCAACATCATGGCTTTAAAAATAAAATCGGACTGGCCGATTTGGCCGGTTCAATTTTGAATCGATTGATTGGGCAATTCAGTTTAAGTTCCAAGATTACTTCTGCACAAAACCACCACGATTCTTGGTTGTTTCAATTTTTTATGAACAACTCAACTTTAATATTAAGTTTTTTTTTTACTTCTGAATTTTGGTTGAATGGCTATAACTTCATATAAGATGTTATATATAGGCCTGGATATTTTGCTCAAAACAAGCTTCAATTGCCTCAATAATCTTCTCTTCACATTGGAGCACTCAACATCATGGCTTTAAAAATAAAATCGGACTGGTCGATTTGGCCGGTTCAATTTTGAATCGATTGATTGGGTAATTCAGTTTAAGTTCCAAGATTACTTCTGCACAAAACCGCCATGATTCTTGGTTGTTTCATTTTTTTATGAACAACTCAACTTTAATATTAAGTATTTTTTTTTACTTCTGAATTTTGATTGAATGGCTATATATATATATATATATATTATAGAAATATAGAACTTAATTATAATTTTATGTCTCAAAATTTTGATTTAAAATTATTTTCAAAATATTTATGAATGAAATGTCTTGAATTAGAATATTGTATATTGAATTGGTTAAAATATCATTTGTGTATTATTATTATATCATTTAAATCATATTAAAATAATTTTAATATTTGTTATGTCATTTAGTTCAACCCTGACTGAACAATTGAAATTCTTCTTCTTCCTATTTAATGTTACTATCCGATGTTTGAAACCTTGCTCAACATTACCATCACCACCTCTCATAATGATGCAATAATATCATGCATCAAAATCTGCTAACCACATGGAGGCGCCATTTGAAACACTTGTTTTTAAAACTTCTCAATGATGTTAGAAGATGCTAAAGACTACTAAGAATCATGAATTGTATGAAACACTTGGTCTCGTGCCCCTTGTGGAGTGTTCCAAATAAGGATTGAAGTTGGGCTAGATATGCTATTTGCTAAATCCATTATTAGCAAAAAATTTTAGGCTTATCGGTAAGTGTCGATCTTTTGATATTTATGCACAATATATTTTTCAACCATTTGATATAGTATTAAACCAAAAACCTAATGTGTCTTATCAAATATCACTTTATAATGCTAATTGGCAATATACATTTGTTTTGTGTACTACAACCGATTGGATATTTATGAAGAGAAGTGTCAAAATAGCTCCCTTATTTTTTGCAAAGGGTCATTTTAATTCTAGAGTTTATTAAAGTGACAGTTTAGTCCCCTAGACTTTTTTAATATGGTCTAAAATAATTCAAAATAATTCCCACACAGAACTATTTTATTCTCAATTTAAATACTCTAAGAACTAATTTGACAATTTTATAGACTTTGAGGCTAAAATGGCCCCTTGTAAACAGTTACGGGACAATTCTAGCATTTTACTCAATATTTATGTTTCGCATGTTAATCCGGATTCTGAATATGATCCTCCTCAACCGTTACCTCACTACATTTGTTATTGTTGGCCCGGCTCCACTTTTAGTGTCAATTATATCTAATATTTTTTTGTGCTTGCATATTGATAACTTTTTTTATCCATATATGCTTTTTTGGGGTAAATAATATTATATTGTGATATTTTATGACTTCATAATAGCATGTGCTGGGTTATCAAGTGTTCCTGAGGGAGATTGGCACTGCCGGTATTGTGAAACTATGCATCAAAGAGAAAACTATGTGGCGTATAATGATAATGCCCGTGCTGCTGGGAGGATCCCTGGAGTTGATGCCATTGATCAAATTCTGAAGAGGTGTATTCTTATTGTTAAACTTCCAGATTGTAGGGTCGGTGGATGTGCTTTGTGCAGGTAACAATCTGTATGAACATGAATGATTTCCTTTACTTTTCTCTAAATGGTTTGGCTTTCCCCATGTTTACCTTACCTCTGGTTTTTATTTGAAAGTGAATTCCATTCCACTATACTTTTACTGCAACATTTTTACTTCTTTTTAGTAATAGCATCTATAAGTGATTCCTTCTGATTATCTTACTGTAATTCAGATCCAAAGATTATACCAAGACTGGATTTGGCCCACGCACAGTACTAATCTGTGACCAGGTCTGTGTTTGTTCTGGATTTAATTAACTAAATAGTGAATCTCATCTCTTAGTTTGTTATATGATCCTGAGACATTATACTGTTCTTTTAGTGCGAGAAGGAATATCATGTTGGCTGCTTGAAGAATCATGGAAGGGATGAATTAAAGGTACTTGATCTTTGATTGTTGTTGTTATTATTATTATAAGGTGCATTTACATGCATACAGCCCAATTCCTATGTATACATTTATCCCAAATCTTTCAGATTACATAAAAAATTCCACCAAACCTTTTCATGCATGGCTAAGACGGCATGTATTTAAAAATGAAGTTTACATGTTAGATTTGTAAATACATAGGAATTGATGTTTATGTATTTAAATCTTCCTTATTATTATTATCATCATCGTTCATTATTTGTCTTGTAGTTGTAATAAAATCATCTTGTCCTAACAGGAAAAACCAGAAGGAGACTGGTTTTGTTGTGCTGATTGCGTTGGTATTCATTCTGCTCTCCAAGGTGTCCTAAGTAATGGAGCTCAAGCACTCCCTGATCTGGTTTTAGATAATATTAAACGGAACGATGGTAAGGAAAGCTCAATCAGGGATGCTGGTGTTAATCTGAAATGGAGGCTTTTTAGGGGCAAAACAGCCTCTGCGAGTGATAAGTTTTTTCTTTCGAGAGCTGTTTCTCTTTTGCACGTAAGTGTTTACTTAATCTTTTATTGATGAACTAAGAATTTTCTCTACTAAATTTCATATGGGATGGCTCAAGTTAGATATTTGGAGTATTTAAAAGAATATCCTTATTGAAATTGTTAGCGTCCTCTAGTTTTAAATGAATGTTCTAAGCTTGCTTGTTTGTTGTTAGGAAGCATGCATTATCATGGGATAAGAATATATGACATTCACAAACATGAAAATTTATCATATTCTAATGTTTACCATGAGGGTGCATTGGGGCCCTATGCCTGCATATTATTGGATATTATATTTTATAAGATTTATATTTTCAACATAGATTTCAATCATCATGCTATTCTAGTTGTTTTTTTTTTGAAAGGTGTGCATTTGCATTAACATAATAAAAAAGGTATAAAATGGAGCTATAAAAGCTTCACAAAAGATGCAGTGTGGCCTGCGTCATCCACCACCACACTGAAAAAATCGGGGTCACAAGTGTGAGCATTCTAAACAAAAGACCTATTCTAAGTAAGTTGGGCACAAAAATGGGTTTCTTTGTTACATTCTCTATGCGCAAAAAAGAAAATAACTTGATTGAATTTGTCACAAAAAGAGGTATCAAGTCTATGTTAAAATTGTTGCTGCCATACCTTGGCCCCCATGCTTTGTTGAAGATGTTTTATGATAGTAGTATTGTCCCTATCAATGATAATGTCACGACCCGGCCCGGTGCATAAAATTAATTAAGGGGGAACTGCCATTAACATTTCATTTTACTTTTTAAAAATTTTAAAAACTTCTAGTGTATGTAAAAGAGCCACTAATTTACAAAATGAAATAAAAATTTTAAACATGCAAAAATAATATCATAATCGGAAAACATCTCAGACCAACATATAAAGTGTCTCTATACAAAAACAAAGTAATAAAAGAAAGTAAAGTCATATCATAAACTAATACTTATAACTAGCAACGGTACTCCTTTTGTAAACCAAGTCTTTTCTACTAGTTGTATCATTTAAAACTTTTCTTCTCCTGAAAGAACATTAATTGTAACTGTAAGTATAATTTCGTGAGTAATTATAATCTAATATGCATTAAATTTTTATGTTTTTTGTATGCATGAATGACCAAAAGAAAAGCATAGTATTTTATTAAAAATTAAAAATTTTCTTTTCTCGTTTCACTTTAAGTATGTACCAATTTAACATTTTTAATATTCATCACTGGATTATCGTCATACTCAAATGTATCTTCAAGAATGTGTCTGAATGCACCCTCAAAATGTGTTTTAAGACACCTTAAAAATGTACCAAATGTACCCTCAAATTGCATTCGAATGCGCACTTTTATTATTTTCTCTAATGTGCACGAGTACATTGCATCTCTTGTCAGTACTATCTGGGAGTAATCCTGTACGACTTAAACATTTAACTTTTATTTCATTTAAATACATTATTTTTCTTTTTCTCCATTCATTTTTCTTTCATTCTTAAGCTACAACGTGCATATAAACATAATTGTCTTAAGCATTAAAGAATTTTTTTATTAAATAAAGTTTAAATTTAATACATATAAGAAACTAATTACTCACCTTAGCTTTCAAGGGACCTCTGAAATAGCATCCCTTCACTTTACTCATTCAAGTAAATATACATATAATTATAAGGATCACTCATTTTAAAAGAAAGACTTAAATATCTAATAAGCTATAACTAAATTTATACATATAAGTCAATTAGGAAATTTCTTACCTTAAAGTGTGATTTACTTCTTGCACAAAACTCTTCTACTCTTCTTTCGTCTTACAACTCTAGTTTAATCACCTTTAATCTTTTACCTTTATATGATTAAATTAAACATGTTATTAGCATTTAACCAGTAAATTAATACTTTATAAAATTGTTCTACTCGGTATTCCTTCCAAAGCAATCATCCACCAACAATGCCTGATTTAAATTCATAACTCATAAGTGTCTCTATTAAATTCGTTCTATAACGATATTAGTGTTGATACTTGCGAATTAAACCCTATTAAATTTATTTAACTTAAATAAACTCACATTTATCTTACAAGTATTCGGTTAGCCCTTATGCACATGCTCTCCTCTCCTCTCCTCTTCCTCTTCTTCGACACAAAGGAACGTAAGTCCTCTCCTCTTCCTCTCGACGCCACCTCTCCTCTCCTCTTCCTCTTCTTCGACACAAAGGAACGTAAGTCCTCTCCTCTTCCTCTCGACGCCACCACCTGCTTCTTCCTTATCTTCCTTTGCACACGATAACAATGTTGAAGTTGCATAACCATAAATCAACTTCAATTCAACACACGATAACAATGTTGAAGTTGCACAACCATAAATCAACTTCAATTCAACACACGATCTCAATGCTAAAGCCGCGCTTCTTCCCTTCCTCAACATGAGCAAAACCTGAAGGTCTTTTCCTTCTTCAATCTATGTACACAAGCACAATGTCGAATAGTTCGACATCCCTCCATTTGCACGACTAGGGCACAACGTTGAAACGGGTATAGTAAGTATCACACGACAAGGAAAATCCGCACTAAGTCAATCTTTTTCTTCCTTCCTTCAACTAGCGTTTGGCATGATAGAGACGTCGCACACAAGGATTCTTTAAGAGGCTGTGATTCCTTTCCTTCTTTTTCTTCTCATTCTCGGATATAACTTCTCACTCGATGGTGAGAATGAGGAGACGATCGATCGATAACAATATGTTTGATCCAAAGGCATGTGTCTTTCTACTCGCCTGCACCTTTTCTTTTTTTTATATATATTTTTTTATTAAAATTTTAGTTATTACAGATATATGCCCTTTAGATTCGTACATTCAATCAAGAAAAATTGAGCCAAGAAATCCAATTGCAGTAAATTCCACTTGTGAGCTATCCCAATGCATCAAATTTTTTCCACACTTGCCAATCTCATATCTAATTACCATACAATACCGGCTTGGACATTAGAAAGAAGAGCGCCGTCAAAAGAATGGGAGGGGTTGGGGTTGGGTATGTGTGTGTGTGTTACCAACGAAAGGGAGGGGACAGCCCATGTGGCCGAGGGGAACCCCATTGCTCAGTGATGGATAAAGGTTTTGATTGGGCTATATAGGAAAGCACCGTTGCAGCTAACACCCCCGGCATTCCAAATGGCTAATTATGAGTTTTAGAATTGCAAGCCCGCCAACTTTGGTAAACTGTATGACATAAGTCTGCCCCAAGCCAAGCATCGATCTTGGCAACTGTTTGAGCCCGGCAATGGCCTCTCTGAACAAAGTAAAAGCCGCAATGTAAAGTCCCCGATCAGATATACACTTTTAGTTGTTGAGGTAATATTATTTCAAGGCAATGCTTGTTCATAGTACATGTTCGAATTCTTTATGCATTCATGAACAATAGCACTTGTAGATGAAAGAATATTAACGAATATATTTGAGAAGCTGAATTTCACAGGTTCTAAAAAATGGCTTCATTTTAGTTCGCTTTTTACAAAGCTCTTTAATTTTTCCCCATTTTTTTTTAAGATTATGAATTCTTCCCTAAGCTGAAATCTTGATCTTCGTATAACTAGTGATGTTAACTGTTTTATTAGATTGGCTCGTGCAATACCCCTCATGACTGAACAGCACTTTTAAAAAATTTACTGAACTAGTTATTGAAACTTTTTTAACAAGAATTATAGGGAGATTGTCTGGTCTCTTATCATTCCTCTTACAGCAGTATGAATGAAATAATGATTTTCTTTGATTTGTATGTGACCGCTATGTTTAGCTTTCTTCACTTGTTTTGTTTCCTAGGACTCAATAATTATCTACCAAGCATCCAATCATTTTCACATCTCATTTTCTTTCAATTTTATTTAAATATTATAACCATTTATTTTATTATTCTTAGAAATCCAATTATCATATATTTTACTGTATTTTTCTGAACTTTTCTATCTTTTACATTTACAGGAGTCATTTGATCCTATAATTGGTGGAAAAAAAGGTTCCGACCTTGTTACCCAGATGATTTTTGGGTGAGTGAGACTTTAACCAAACTACCTAGCCTTCGCTTTTACCCGTCATGGACGCAAAGAAACAAACTCATGGAACCGCTTCTATATCCTAAACCCTTGGAGAGAGAGAGATAGAGATAGAGAAGTTGCTATATGTGAAGCCATTTCCATCATTGAATCATTTCTTATTTCTTATGTTTTCTCTTATGCTTTGCAGAAGATGTTGGGACCAAATGGATTTCCAAGGAATGTACTGTGCAGTACTTATTATGGAGTAGGATCAATTTGCTTTTGAATTTTCACGCTTCGTCTCTACCGGAACTTTTGTTTGACCTAATATATATTGATGGTCATTGCAGTTCATCTGTTGTCTCGGTTAGCACCCTAAGAATTTTGGGTTCTGAAGTTGCTGAACTTCCATTGGTTGCCACCAAGAAGGAATTCCAAGGACAGGTGAAATCCGTTTGTATTTCGTATTTCCGGTTCAGGGCATTGTTAATGCTTGATGTTTAATTTATGTGCAAGACATTAAAATTCTCAGTATCTGTATATTTTTTTGTGGGATGCTTGCAATTTCATGTTGTTCCAAATACTTCGTGAGCAAATGCATGGTTTGGTGGTTTTATTTTATTTTATTTTATTTTTTTTGAGTAGATGTTTGATTCATAGATGAGCATGATTTCAATTGCATGCATGTAATTCTTCATTGTTTTGTTAATGAAAAAAAAAAAAAAATCCAGTAGCATTTTATGTTATGGCTTTGGAGGCAATTATGGTTATATATAAACAGATGCCACATCTTCTATTCAAATTGCCCCTTCTTTCACTCATTTTTTAGTTCAAAATTTAAACCTGAAAATATTAGTTTAAAATTGTCATGAACTATCAAACCATTAAATTGGTGCAGAATCATTTGACAGTTTATTCTTTAAAAAAGATCATTCAAGATAGGTCAACATGTCCATTATATCATACTATATCATTTATATATCTATATCCTCTTTACATATACATTCATCATAGGAGCACCGTCTAATGCATTCCATTTTTTAATTGAAATGTTCATTATATCATACTATATCATTATATATCTATATTCATTATATATCTATATCCTCTTTACATTTACGTTCATCACAGGAGCACCGTCTAATGCATTCCATTTTTTAATTGAATGTGGTTGTGTCCTAACTAATTAATATATCTGCAGGGCTATTTTGTGGCATTGTTTGCCTGCATAAAGAATCTCTTGGTCTCGTTGAATGTGAAGCATTTGGTGCTTCCTGCCACAGATGAAGCACAACCAATGTGGACTCAGAGATTTGGTTTCAGGAAGATATCAATGGATCAGGTGGGTGTCAAAATCTATATGGTTTGAACTTTTGCTAAAAAAACATTGGGGCAGTTACATGCATACCCCCCAATTCTTATGTATTTGCATCTTTAATGCCTAAACTAACTTTTTTTTACATTTATAACTACCCAAAATCTCTCATTTCACATCACAAGTATCACTATTAAAATTTACATTTTCATGCATAGATAAAAGTGGCATATATGTAAAAATTGAAGTATATATAAGAATTAAGGGATATCTGCATGCAAATCTTCCAAAAAAAAATTTTATGAGCTAAAGCTGATATCTGTTTACTTTGCAGTTGTATGAGTTGGCCCAGGGCATTAAGATTGTGGATTTTGAAGGGACGACATTATTACACACAGCTGTTTCTGACCTAACAACACTTGCTGCTATTGGAACCCAAGGAAGCTGAAGCATAATCAAAACAAGGAACTTGCAAAAGGGCCATTTTTTTGAAGTTTTGTGGGAAGTTCTTTTTGGACGAAACTTTTGGAGCTGAGCCTACGTGTCGAAAGTTTTAATGGAGATTTGAGGAATTTAGATGTTCATATAAACTCTTCCACTTCATAGGAAATTTATCATAGAAAGTCATTTGAAACGTGAGCAGCAGCAGTATGACAATTGTTCTCCAGTTGTGGTTATGTTGCCGTTATTGTTTCAAAATATTTATGTTGCTATGGTTTTATGATGACAAAACACTTTCCCTCCATTTTGATGCCATTGAAATCTTTCAGGAGCTGGCCTTATCATGTTTCTCAAATCTCTGTTTTGTAATGATTGAAAACTTTTAGGTCAGGTTGTCTTGATTTATGCATTTTAGTGAGATGAGATTTTTATCTATTAAACTTACTTTGGAATGTGTAATATCTTATTGATCGGTCAAGTATTTATATTATTATTTTTTAAAAATAAATCTGATGGATTATGGTAGATCTATCCAAATTCATATTAGATTTTCTGATCCAAACTCTCTCCTTAAATATTTGTGTTCTCATTCATCCATTTGTCAAATTCTTGATAAAATTCAAACCCATATTTTTCATTTTTAGTGCTTTGTATGTATTGCAAAATATTAAAGTATGATAAAAAATGATAAACAGGAAGGTTAAGAGCAAAACATGGAGCTTTCAGTTTATAAATATAGTCTAATTCATATAGTTATAAGACAACAATTCACCCCCTGAAACTATAATGCTAATTACAACATCTTCCCAATGAAACTATAATGCTAATCATGATATAAATACACAAATGCAACCCCAGGTGTATGCTCACTGCACTCTCTACAGCTCAATATATGTATATCATCCCTCTCTATACACGTATACATAATAACAGAACTGTGAAATCCTTAACAATACTGAAATACAATTTATCCTATGATTTTAACCCTATCCTATAAGACATCACTTGCTTCAGTCAATCTCTGCATGCACATAATCAACAAATACAAAGTTCTTTTGAATCTCGTGAAATAAATAAGCCAAAGCAGCGCTTACTATAGCAGAACCTGAGAGCAGAAGCCGCAGTTGGATCTCGGAAGGAACTCCAGAAGAGGCGCATAAAATTACAGTTGCGGCGATGAGTAATTTCTGCCATTTGCGGAAGCTGTCATAAGCGCCTCTGCATGATGAGCACCTCAGAGTGTGTTGTTCATGTCGGTTCAGCATCTGTGAGGAAAGAGGATGTAATCTTTTATCAAACAATTTTACGGACAACATTTTTAATATTTTTTTATCCTTTTCTTTCTTTTATAGGAAGATTTACATGCATACCATTCAATTATTATGTATTTACATATCCTGGTGTTTGATATGTAAATACATAAGAATTGGCGGTATGTATGTGAATGCCCCTTTTTAGGATTGGCGCTCTGAGGAGTTACATTTTTTTGTTCATCATATTAACTCTTGGTCAACAATTATGCATAAAAGTTACATATTTTACTTTACAAAATCTATCAAAAACTAATGCGCAAATTTCTGTAGTACATGAAATGCAAGAACAATAAATTTTACAGCTATAAGAGTGTTGAAATTTGAAGAACCAAGATAATCGGCGCACTAATACAATAAAAATTTATGGAGGCACGCATAAGGTGTTAGAACAAGCCATAATTATGAGAAGAAGATATAATAGAGATGGTAGACACTTGGAGACCTAGTTATATTTACAAGTACTAGCGTTGCAAACTATTAAGGTGCAAATCAAAATGATACTTTTTTTTACTGATTTTTTGATGATACGCAACATTAGTAGATTCAAGGGCTCAACTTGCCATATACTTTTTTTTTTTTAAATTTATAAATCACATTATGATAGATATACTTATATTGGAAATAATGTGGCATGCAAAACAATTAACTTTGAAAATTTGAAGTTGAAGAAGCACTTCAGAGTATGTTGTTCTCTCTGTCTTTCTCATTACTCATTTGCTATGTTTGAGAGATTTGGTGATCGTCTTTCATGAGATTAGGTCTTCAAAAAGAAAATCATACCTCACGCTTTGATAGAACAGTGGATGGAAGAGCATTTTGGTTCACAAAGCCAAACCAATGGGGCTGGCCATTACCGTAGCGCCTCAACCAATTCCGAAATGCTAAGACCAAACGATCTGCCTGTGTTGGGGTGAATGTAATGTTCGAATATTGTTGGTTGACATCGCCGGAACCCTCCATGGACTTTGATAGAAAAATTTTCTCCTGTCCTTGTAGAACAATCATATCACCATCATAAACTTTGTTTGAAGTCCAATGCTCATACCAACGCGGTACCAACTGCATGATCATGCGGAGAATGCAAAATGTCAGCAAGCGCAGCCTCGGGCTAAAATGAAGGGACAAGATATTCTAAATGCTCACAATTTGAGGTTTATAGCAAAAAAGGATTAAGAACTGATGCTCAACAACAAGAACAGCACAACAAAACTATTTGTTGTTGTCGTTTAGTGTGTGCACTTCCTGGAAAAGATATGGGCCGTTGGCATATGCTGGGGGCGAAGACATCAATGAGGTTATTTCTAGTGCAGTTCTTCATGCCAAGGCTCATTTCTAAGCGAAAAATGATATCATCAACATTATCATCATCAGCACAATCCCAACTATTTGAGGTCGATACCATGAATCCTCCTTTTTCATTAGTTTATGTTTGTATTTAGTAAAGATGTTTTGTAAATCATTTTGAAAGATTGTGTCAATTTGTCTAATGAACATTATTTTATCATTTGTTTAAATGCACAAACTACCTAAGTTTATTTTCAATCATTTTATCTTCAATTGATATCACTCTAATACTTTTTATAAGAAAATAATTCATTATTTCATACTTTTGAGTTTTTTCACACACATCCATTTTAAATACCAATGGTTTTTTACCACCCAACATTTGGATCCATATGGCATCATCATAATAATTGTGATTTGATAAATTCCTTAAACCTTCATGATATCTATTTATCACACAAAACTCCCAAAGTACATCTCCATTTTATCCATCCAACCTTAACTCTAGATATTATATCCCATATGTATTTTCATTCTTCTAAATAATAGATATAAGAAACTTACACCTATATACCGAGATATTGTTTTATTTTATAATAATATACAATAACAACAAATCTTAAAACCATTGAAATTATTATATATCATTAACTCCAACTTTGATGGAAAAGTTCAGAGATAATAAAGAGGATTTACACATGATTTTTATTGATTTAAAAAAAAAACTTACAATAAGGCTCCAAGAGATGTCCTTTGGAGCATTCTTGAGAAGAAAGGTGTTGATAAGACTTATATTCAAGTCATTAAAGATATGTATACTAGAGTTGTTACTTGTGTTCGAACTGAAGGAGGATTGACCAAATATTTTCCTATTTCTGTTGGATTACATCAAAGTTCGGCTTTAAACCCATATCTTTTTAATTTAGTTATGGATGGAATTACTGGACATTTACAGGAGGATGTACCTTGGTGTATGCTTTTTGCTGATGACATCCTTCTCGTGGATAAGATAAGAGAAAAAGCCTACGAAAAACTTGAATTATGGAGGTCTACATTGGAGTCTAGAGGCCTTCATTTGAGTAGAGCTAAAACTGAATACATGAAATGTAATTTTAGTAGTTGTAGCTCTAGTGACATAAGTGTAACTTTGGGTGATCAAATTATTAAAAGGTGTGAACGATTTAGATATCTCAGGTCTGTTGTACAAAGCGATGGTGATATAGATGGGGATGTTAATAGTAGAATTCAAGTTAGTTGGTTGAAATGGAGGAATGCTTCGGGCCTTTGTGTGATAGAAAAGTACCGTTTAGGCTAAAAGGAAAATTTTATAAGAGGGTGGTGAGACCTGCAATGCTCTATGGCGCTGAATGTTGACCTTTAAAAGAGAAGCATAATACTAAGTTAAGTGTTGTTGGAATGAGAATAATTAGGTGGATGAGTGGCTTTACACTTAGAGCAAAATGCGAAATGAATATATCTGTGATAGGGTTGGTGTAGCTCCAGTGACGGACAAAATTAGAGAGAGTCGCCTTAGGTAGTTTGGTCACATTAAACGTCGACCATCTGATGATCCGATTAAGAGAGTAGATGTTTTAGATTCGACTTATGTTAAGAAAGACAGATGTAGATCCAGGAAGACTTGGGCTTATTGTATAAAAAATGATCTTAATTTACTAGAACTAAATGAAAATATGACACTAAATAGGACGCAATGGAGAAAAAGGATTCATTTAGCCAACCCCACGTAGTGGGATTAAGGCTTTGTTGTTGTAGTTGATGTTTTATTAACTCCAACTTTATAATATTAATTCTACGGTATCTATAATTTAAATAATTCTTAAATTATTCTAAATATTTTTACTTGTTTTAATGAATGTTTCACTAATTTAAATCATTTAATCTACAAAAACCATGCACCAAAGCTTCTAGCTTTGTATTATATAAACAATGCAAAAAAAATATTGACACAAATGCCGATCATTAATGCAAACTCACAAGAATTGAAAAGTTTGGATTATTTCACAACTATTAACACTAGTCAACACTCCATCAAGCAAACTTGTAATTAGAAAAGTGTTAGAATGGTCCCCTGACATTTTGTTTTGTAAGGGTTTATTTAGTCCCATAGTTTATAAAAATATCAATGTAGTCCCCAGACTTTTTTATTAAGGTTGAAATAATCCTCAACTAGGGCTGTTTTAGCCCTACTTAAAAAAGTTTGGGGACTAATTTAGCATGATATAAACTCTGGGCTAAAATGACCTCATCTAAATAGTAAGGAGACCATTTAGGCACTTTATTCTTAATAAAGCCAAAAAATATTTGACACATCTTTAAACTTAAAAGCATGTCAAATCAAGTCTAGTGATAATCAATTATATGCATTTTTAAGATCAACAAAGTTCATATGAAATTTTTTTTTATATATATATATATTTCCCCATCAATTGTATCAATAAAAAGATCGTTTCAATAGTAGATTTTAACTAACATAAAATCAAATCAAATTCTTAAAATTAATTTAATTTTTATAGGTCTATGTTCCATTACTCCATCCCATAACTTCATTGTACGACTTCTAATTTTTATTATTTTATAATTAGCATAATCTTGAACATGATCTTGGTTATTAAATATTGATACTAAAATGATCTCCAATCATTCAACATATTTTTTTGTCTTTAAAATTTTATTAACTACTTACAAACAAAATCACTGCAATATTCCACATATCTTTTAATTTTACTTTTTTGGATCAATCTATAATAAATTTCAATTTATTGTTGGTCAATGCTTCCAAAATATTTTTTCTTTAAAATTTTTTTAAATAGTATTTCAAAGTAATATTTTCATTTTCAAGTAGGATAGCATTATGTTCACTTCATCTAAATTGATAAAATTAATAAATCTTTTATCCCTTATCTCATTTGGTCTACAAATCTATTTTTTCCCTCTTTAGCATCAAGCTTATTATAAAGATCATCAAAAGCTGAAGCTTTTGCTTTGCTCATTACCCTCTTCCTAAGATTTTTAACATTATCATATCAATATGAATCTCAGTAGATATTTAATTTTTTCTTACATTTTAAAGTGTATTAATTTTCTTATAACCCTTTGCATCTCCTAATTGCAACACCAAATCTCCTTACCAATGCATGATTTATTTCTAGAATCTCATAAAAATTCTATAACAATCCTATTGATGGAACAAACCTATCCCGCATATTTTACTCTATTAAAGAATTTCAATTTGCCTCTCCTAACAAAATATCTTGAAATTTTACTAACTAATTTTACTAACTTCTCATCTCGCAAATCTCAACGCATTATCCTGAGACCATAATTTGTATTAATTATTTCTTTATATTCTTAAGAGATGTATCCATTATTACAACATTTTGTTGTGTGCTTAATTTTCTATCCAAATCATCTTGCCATATTTGCAAGAATGGTTGTCTCCTACCACAGAAGACGAAATATATTTGAAGTAATTGAGCATTCTTCTCATTTCTTAAAACATATGTTCAATATCGCGAGTTCATAAACTACCCTAGAATAAAATATAACTTCTATTATTGCATTTCTATCACTCATAGCTCACCCCACTAGAACCTATATACCAATTTAAACCATCTCCAATAACTATCCTTTCTTTAACAAATATAAATTACAATAATTCATAAATCCATTCCCAAAATTATTATTTTTAACATTCCTCAAATCCAAAATCAAAGATATGCCACGCCACTTAAAACATGGAACTGTTGGATGCATCAGTCAATAGAGGAATGTTAAATGAAAATCAGTGGGTTTAATATCTAGGTATCTTCAACTACCCTTTATGCTGTTAAAACGGGAGCAGATTTTGAAAGAGCAAAATGTTGTCGTACAAAGTGCAAATCGGATAAGGAGTGAAAATAAGAAAAAATATCTGTGCCATGGAAGAAACATGAAAATTCGGAGGACGCGACGGGCTCACTCTATTTATTTCTATATTTGGTCAATCAGCTACAGTCGCAATGAAAATTAAAAAATTAAGATGCCTGATTGAACATTAATTAATAGTGCTAGAAAAGGAAAATGCTAAAGATAACATGTTACAAGTTCCATTAAAAGAATTGCATGAAGCTGAGAATGAGTGCAGTACTCATCAAAATCAACTGAAAAAGAAGCAACTAAAAAGCAGGCTGGATATGGTATCAATGAATCTTCACTAAGAAATTTTTTGTCAAATTCAGGACGTGCCATTTACCCAAAACTAAGGCTACTTTCGCAAGGGTACACCTTCGCATTTATGAAATTATGAATAATAAACTGAATAGTAAATATGGAATAGTTAGCCAACCCCAAATAGTCGGAATAAAACTAATGAAGATGATCACAGACTAAAAGCTTAATACGGAAGATTAACTGCAAATCCTCAATAAATGGGTGCCAAATGCACGCAAAAAGTATTGAAAGTAATTTAGTTGTTGAACTATACCTGCCACCATGCAGGACCGGGCATTGTAAACTGAAAAAAATTTCTGGCACTGCACACAATGGACCGTGTCTTCCCCGGTGCCATGGGTATGTTGAAGGAACATATCCAAATGACCCACTTTTGATCTCCAAATATCGGTAATTTGGTGTCAATCTCTATCCTGGAAAAAAAATATGAAATGTAAGGTTAAAGTTGGCACCTTTTATTGTATTTGTACAGGAATAGGTAATAATTAACCCATTGGAATGAATGAAATATTATTATTAGGACAAACTCACTTATTAATGTAATAGCAAGGGGCAACAAATTTAGCACTTATACGAGGATTTCCAGAATCAGCTCCAGCAAATCCAAAGACTCCGCTGTATTCCATTTTGAATGGTAGAGGCTTAGCTCTATCCCTTCTTCCAGTTACCTATGAAAATAAAGCTATTAAAGTTAAAATTATACAAATTAAACAAAAAAGCTTCACTGGAATGCCAGCATAAACTGCTAGAATGACTTATACCAAAGCCATTCTTGATAGTCATCGCTAGAGTGTCGGCAATGTGGGTGAACGATTGGTGGTGGTAGCTGAGTAGAGGATCAGAGGCAAATTATGGGGCCATCTAAAATGCAATGATGAAAGGAGTGTGGCTGTAGCAGTAAAAATCAGTACCATGCAATTTGATGACCGTGGGAGGTGTGAAGTGTTTGGTATGGGGACAACCATGAATGGGCAACAAAGCTGCACCGGTTACTAGCAAGGAAGTTGAGTTGAGGCATTTGGGGTGGATGACCAAGGGAAGCAACGATGGTGGGAGGCCTGCAGTGTTTAATGGTTATAGGATAATGGTGCTGGCAACGGAAGGATGTAGAGGCAGTGACGGTGGCAACATTTCTAGTCAATGGTAGGAAGTGGTCTACAATGTCCATGTCTGCTGTATGGCGGCATGCCATGAGATCATTGTTATGGCTACCTAAAAATACTGAGCTAAGAAATTCACCAAGTTTATAGAACGATACATTAGTAAGAGAAAGAAGTTTTCTTAAGATACTCGTTATACCAGAAAATAGTCCCATGTCAAAATTAAAATAAGAGCCTAATTTCTAATATTCTAATGTGAAATCTTACCTATTCTATGAAGTTGTTGGATTGATTAGCATGTAGTCATTAGTATATTAAGTATACTCAAAATTACTCCCATTTTTGGAAGATGATGGCTGGCGTGGAGAACTCTCATTATTAAGAAATACATTAGAAAAAAATGGTCCAACTTCGAAGGTGAAGTACGTTTTAGTTCCTGATATGATAGTAGTGGCCCACACCTATTGGCTTGAGGTTGAAGGATATCAATCCAATCGTATAAAGAAGCTTATTTGGGACCCAGGTATTCCAGCCACTTGACAGACATAATATACACAATTTCATCATTCATAGAGAGAGGCACATGAATAAGATTCCAAAAAATAACCTCAATAGATAGCCATATTTTTAACGAAAAAGTAAAGGTGTCATTACTAAAACTTTTCATTCAGCATTACTCATGGCAGTTAGAATCATAAAAATATCAGTCCATCAAAAGTACAAGTTTTACATAACACACAAATCTCGGGATAATTAAAAAAAAAAAAAACTAATTCTCAATTCACTCAAAAAATTAAAATTGAAGGCTTAAAAACTCAAAACAGTGCAAAACCATCATCATAGAATTGGTGCATCACAAATTCACAATAATGGTTTAAAAAAGTGCAATAAATAGCTCCTCTTAATGCTTTTAAAAAAAACCACAATAAGGCTTATACCTCAACAAGTACTACTTGGGCTGACACCACACATAATATGAGGCCAGTTTCAAAGTGCGCCTCACCTCGATTTTGTTGAGGGGGCACAATTAGATCTAGCCTTATTTTAGATAATTTACCTAATCAATATTCCTTAATCATATTATAAATAACTTATGTCATGATTTTTCGATAAATTTTACGTTGGATGTCGACTACCTAGCACAAAAGTTATTATTATCAACAAATCATTATTTTAAAATTTAACAAATATTATTATTATTTAATATAAATTAAATTAAAATAAGATGATTGATATTTAAGATGATGAATAATGAGAGAACGTTGATATAATTAAGGATAAGTGAGAAAGAAAGTAAATCTTATGCTCATGATTCGAAAAAAAGCACACTAAATGATAAAAATGATGTGGTCTTTTAACTTTAAAAATTATAATCTTAATGGCTTGCTATGTTCTCACTTTGAATGACAATATGTTTACGAGAAAGACTAATTATTTCAAATTTATTTTGAATTATTAAGCTACTATATCTTGCTTTGATATTTGTATAACAATTCTAATTTTAAAATTTTATGTTAGTTCTTACTTCGAACAATTTTTATGTTCACCATATTAGGATGTTAATACGTTATATTTTAACCTATTAAAAGGTTAGGATATTAATAGGTTCCTTCTTACTACATGCTGAATTTATTATAGTACTTCTTGCATTGCACAATTTAATAATTTTAAGGCTTATGGCTGAAAATGACTTGAGGTTTACGTCTCGCCTCAGAGACAAAAAAATGTCTCCCTGCCCGATTGAGTAATTCTAAACTTGATCAGAATGAATCCATCAACAAAAAATCGCACATTTTGAGAATTAGAAGACCATGTACCAACAAGAAATAATTGATCCAAATGACACGAAATCCATCATAAGATCCAAATACTCCTCTATCAGCATAAAAAGAACAACAACGCTGCCAATCACATTAATGCATACTTAAATTGCCCAAATCAAACTTGAATATTTCAAGTTCTTATGGCCAATATGACTACTATGAATCTCCATTTTCTGAACCATTTGCAGCAAATGATCGATCACGAATAGGCAAATATATTTATGTATAAATGATGCAGCATTGTTGTGAACTTCTAATGACCCCAAATTTGAGATGGTAAACCTTATCGACTTTATTTCAAACAATTTGGTTGATGAAATTTTTATCTAATACTCTTACTATATAAAGAACCATGATAAATAGATTGGCATGTTTAGATTGTTGCCGACGCTTGCCACCGCCATTGCAGAAAATTAAGGTTAACCTTGGTCTGAATGGGTCTATAAAATCAGCCCAAGGCAGATTATTTATTTCATATTTTAATAACGGAAGGAAGCAACATGAACCATTCATTATTGGTAAATAGCGATCTAAAACATTTATTGTTGAGAATAACTAGAATTATTTTGGATATATTCAAGATTAAAACTATAATGCCCACCTTAAAATCTATAAAAATAGCTTCAATAAGCTCATACAAAAAAATTATTAATTAAAAGAGTTAAGCCCCTTAAGATGTGCAACACAACCTTGCTTGAGCAGCACCTGTTACCTTGTTTGCACTACAAAATAGCTAGCGGAGCCAGCTCTGAAAAAGTATGCATTGCAACCATGTTTGCACTTATGTTGTCTCCAAAAAAACTAATGCTGCAACATTTCTTGCAGCATAACCATTCCTGATAAGACCCATATTGCAACCTCACTTGCGTTGAAATCTTATTATTCAAAACTCATGTCGCAATCTCGCTAACATCAAAGTCATCTCTAACAAAACTTACCGTGCAATCGTCATCAACAAGACTTGCATCACAGATTTATTTTGATGTAATCATCTCCACCAAGGTCTGCGCTACAATCAACCACCACAAAGCTTATGTAAAAACATTAATTGAATCAAGGCTATCCCTAGGAATGGTGTAGCTCCAACCCCAACATACATAGGGACCTACCAAGCCCCCTCCATCATCACTATTCATGATTGTCCATGGAGCATTTTGCCCTACAGCTCATCCAAATACATGAAGTTAGACCATTCTTGTACTAATTTTTAATAAATAGTCAAAGCAACTTGATTATGCAAGGCCCTCTAATTTATACTTCCAAGTGGGTTCCAAAGAAAAAGACTTGAGTCGGGGTAGATTGAACATGTTGCTTTTGTGCAAGAGATAGAAGAATAATCCTCGCTCTATCCATGTGTATGAAATTTAAAAATAAATGTCTAAGGCTTATCAAGATCGAACCTAACTCAAAAACTTGAATACCTACATGCAATACTCAATGTCAAGGACTGAAACAAGAAACATTAGATTAACAAAAGCTTAAAAGCCAAAATTAAGTTACAGTTTTCAGCAAAAAATGCCCAGTGTAGAGTCTTAATTAAGCAATATAGCAAATATAACGGCATATCAACATGGTTTTATTGTAACTAAAAAAAAGGCTACACAATTAAGGCAATGAGAACAGAGGCATTTTATCTGAGAACAAGAATCAAAATTAATGAAAGATGGCATGGTTTAAATCATAAAGTTAGCATCACAAGACTTATTTTCTGCACACCTTGAAAATCTACAGCTGAATTTCTGCAATGCTGGTTAGACAATCTAGTTAGAAAAGACTCATTCTTTCAATCTCAAATGCTAGACCCTTATTTGTTGTGATTCATTGAAGAGTCTAAATTGGAAAACCAAGCTCTATAGATCAAACAAATAGCAAAAGCACTAAAAACAAACACAAAATAAGAAGAAATTTCATTTGGATAAGTATCCCTTAAACGCTTCCTAAAAATATACCTTGTGGTGAGCAAAATCAATATGTGAAGGATCGGAGACATTTTCCATCAGTGTATCATATCCATAATACAAGTCCCTCTGGATCGTCACAGTAGAAAATTCCGGACTCTCAAAATCAACCGGCAACCTTAAAAAAAAGCCAGAAACCGCTTCATCGGATCCATTTTCCATAATAATAATAATAATAATAATTTCCCCCTTTCCGAACAAACCTGGGAGTTTCAGAAGCCATGGCTTTCTCCCAACCGTGCTCATCTGGCCAGACGAAGAGCAATCCCTGAGAAACCCTGGTAGGCAGCCGAGTCACGCACGCCTTCGGCGACCGCACGGCCCTAGCCTCCGGTCCATCCGGCAGCGCCTGTGGAATCCGCACACAGGAGCCCTTCCGATCGAACGACCATCCATGGTACGAGCACTGCAAGCAACCATTCTCATCGATCCTTCCTTCCTGCAAGAATCCTCAACCAAATCATTCACCGAAACCCACCATGGCACCATTTATAAATCGAACAAAGCACGGAGCAAAATTAATCCCTGATTACCGAAAGTGGTGCGAGGCGGTGGGGGCAGAGATCGTCAAAGGCCACCCAGTCGCCGGACTTAGGATCCTTCCATAGAACTATGTCGCGGTTTAGGAGCTGAAAGGCAGTAGGCAAGCGGGGATCAAGATCCTCGATGAGGGAGACAGGGTACCAGTGATCTCGCCACGAGAAGGTCTCCGAAGAGGAGGAGGACGTTGCATCGAGTTCTCGGAATTCGAGTTTATCCTCTTCAGTAGGAGCTGGAGGGGATGACGGCGTGGCGACCCTAAGAATTGTCGGCAAGCGGCTACGACTCTTCTGGCTGACAGATCGGCGACAAGAAACAGGTAGCGAGAAGGCGGGAGGAGATTTGGAGTACGAGTTAAGGGGGTTGAAGGGCGGGAGAGCGGCGGAGGGGGCGAGAGAGTGGGAGAAGAGAACCGCCATTAGCCGCGAGGGAACTAAAGCAAGCTACAGAGTGCTCGTAGATACTTAAATGAAAAGGTTCGTTGTATGATTGTAGGAAACGGTTTGTAGCAGGAGTTATTGTAGGTCAATCAGTCCATCATTTTTAGGAGAAAATTCTGAGTACGGGTAAGTTATTAGGGGTTATATCCGATATTATGTTCTCTGAAACTTTTCTATAACCTATATGTAACTAATAAATTTTACGTTTTTATTTTCACATATTTATAAGTTACAGGTACGTTACGGAGAGATTACAGATTGTATAATGCGGATATAACCTCCAATACTCTCACTGTAACATATCTGACGTACGCAACGCTGCGTGATTTTCTCCATTTTTAGAGTATGTAGTAGTACAATAATTAAGATATTGTGCTGCTCTGCAGTTATTCTGCAACATATGTTATTAATTTGAAAGGTATTTCTCTACTCTGCAACAGGCATGCTTAATGGCATTGTGACTCGCCACTTCAATGTGCTTAGTTGTTCTGCAATGTATGTCGTACTTCGTAAGATCCACCAATGGTGACGAGCAAGTGCCAACCTGCGGTGGTTAACGAAAGCTAAGTTATTAGGGGTTATATCCGATATTATGTTCTGTAACTTTTCTATAACCTACATGTAAATAAAAAATTTTACGTTTTTATTTTCACATATTTATAAGTTACAGGTACGTTACGGAGAGATTACAGATTGTATAATGCGGATATAACCTCCAATACTCTCACTGTAACATATCTGACGTACGCAACGCTGCGTGATTTTCTCCATTTTTAGAGTATGTAGTAGTACAATAATTAAGATATTGTGCTGCTCTGCAGTTATTCTGCAACATATGTTATTAATTTGAAAGGTATTTCTCTACTCTGCAACAGGCATGCTTAATGGCACTGTGACTCGCTTGTGACTCGCCACTTCAATGTGCTTAGTTGTTCTGCAATGTATGTCGTACTTCGTAAGATCCACCAATGGTGACGAGCAAGTGCCAACCTGCGGTGGTTAACGAAAGTCCGCAAGCGGTGATCGATGGAGGTCGACATATATGAGAGTGATTAATGGGTCTTTAATCTAAAATAACTCGAAAAATTGATGACTCCTAATTTGGCTTGAGGTTTAGCTGGTCGGTCATCGTTTTATTTATGATATATAAATGATTTAAACTTCTATTAGGACTAAAAACTTTATAATTTTTGTTTCGTGAGGCAATAGAAGTTGGGCCTAAATAATGGGGGCATATGCATACATACCGCAAGAAATTTTCTTATTTAACTATCTGACACCTAAGCTTAAATATTACTGAAATACCGCCTAAAATCCTATTTCACGGTTCAATATACCACCCCTTGAGACTCCTCCAGTCTTAGTGAATATTGGAGGCACACGGAATATTAAAAGGAGCGTTTTTTCTGTCTGGAGTTCTGACGTAGTTCTATGTGCGGCGTAGTTTATTCTTAAGTTATTTTCAGGTTATTTTTTGATTATTTTCAATAATATCGAAATAACCCAGAAATAACCCGCGGTATTTATTTTTGGGATATTTCTGGGTTATTTCGGTATTATTAAAAATAACCCAGAAATAACCTGAAAATAACTTAGAAATAACTTGGTCCGCACGTAAAATTACGTCAGGAGTACGCAC